GGTCTGGTACCCCCATCTCTTTAAGAATTTGCCACAGTTTGTTGTGATCCACACAATCAATTAATTGCTAATTAATACTTCATTATTATTGGCGGAGTTTGATCCCCAAAAGCTTAGGCTGTAATACCTTTGCTGTTCTTTGAGATGCCAAAGATCTGCTGCATCAGGGACATCAAATTAGGACAGCCATAAGGCGCAGTCACTGCTGCTTGTCTAAGATCCTGGGGGGTTCTCCCTCTGGATCCCTGAAGGACTTGGAGATGCCCAGTTGAACAGTTGGCACCTCACTGCAAGTGGCCCAGTGTCTTTCTGGTTTGGAGCGGAGCTGTACCTTTAACTCCTCTGCCTTTCCTATGGCTGCTCTGCACATGTGAGACCAGAACGGGTAGGCAGACACCCAGCTCAGCCCTGGTGGCAGAGGCGCTGAGTGGCCTTGGGTCTTCCACAGTGCAGCCGGGAAGCTGTTGCCCTGCCCCAGCCGCACAGAGGAACTGGGTCCCCTGGTGGCAAACTAGTTTGCTGGAGCTTTGGTAAGCAGCGGCCAGTTTGGACAGATTAGGTTTCTGAGGCTTTCACCCGTGAAGGGGAGAGCTGACGCTTATCTTTGGGGAGGCCGGTCAGGGAGCCTGGAAGGCGTTTCCTCGGCCGTCTCGGGCTGCTCTGGCTCACTTGACCCATGGACCTGCCCCTCTGCCCCTTTCCCAAGAACATTCCTCTGCCTTCATGAAAGGGCGCGGGCCAGCTCCCTCCGACTCTCAGCGAGGAAACAAGCTCTTTTGGTGTGGGGTTTAGAGGAGAAGCATGTAATTCTTTAAGAGACACTGTACCACTCAGGCACGGATTGGAGGGCTCGCCTGGGTTCGAATGACTTCTGGTGGTTTGGGGTGTGTTTGCCTTTGTTTCTGCTAGAGCTGCTCTGTCCACCCCCCGCCCAATCCCGAAAGGATCCCCAAAAGCAGGGAACTGTTTCCTGAGGGATATTTGCTTGTCTGGAGCTTCTGCAGGAGGTGGGGGGCTCATCGGTTGTCACTTGCTTCTTGTCTCTCTGCCACATCTGCTTCCCTGGCCCTGACAGCTCATTCTGTCTTCTAATATGCCAAAGAATGTAAACGTTTATTTAGAGGCCATTAACCAAGCCCAGACCTACAGGCAGAAATGGGTTGCAACTGCTGTGCATCTACTGGCACCCTTCATGGGAAAGACTGAAGCATTGCAAAAATGCTAGATGGGATGTAATAATTGTTTACATTTCTTATCAGGGACTTACATAGGAATACAGCCAAATATAAATGCCAAGGAGTTTGATGTAGTTCTGTAGGGAGGCATGGGAATCACCTTGGAGAAAGCATCCAGAAACCTTTAGGACCAGAGCAGGTGCAGAAGAAACCTGCGTTAAGCCCGGGGAGGCGGGCGGGTGGGAGGCTCAGGCTGGCTCCTCACTGACTCAGCGGGGGCCTAAGAGAAAAGACGGGAGGCTTGCAAGATTCTGTTACTCAAAAAAAGTGTAGCTCTAGTCCTATAGAATCACTTTCCTGGTCAGTCTACCCTGTAGGGCTGACGACTTCATTACATATTTTCAAGATTAATAATGAACGAAACATTGACATTAAAATTGGATTTTTGAAATTAGGTAAGACTTTTGGTAGTTTGTTGCTTCCTTGGCACACCTAGCACATTTCCCCCAGTTTATCAGGCTTTTTCTGTTCTGCCATGAAGCTCCGTCTGGAAAATCTGATCTTGCTTATTTCGAAAAAGGAATTGTTAGCTTCAGTTTGACACTAAGGATGTTCCGTGACCCAGTACGGAAATGCACAGTAAGCTTATCGAGTTTTATCATCTCTCTTGCTGACAAGTCACCCTGAAGCATCAGCCTAATGGGGTTTTTATGGTAAAATCGGCTGCCTCGTTCATGGAATTTTACAAGATCCAAAGTCTACATAAACACCTGTGTGCCTTAAATTTCTGTGATTCAGCTGCAGCCTTTGCAGTCAATCATGACAACTCGTAGGATTTCAGAAGCATTTTTCATTCCTGTTTTTGGTGCAGTTGCACAGGTACAATCAAGAAGCAATGGTTTATAAGCCTGCCTACGTCCCTCCTTGCAATGATCCTGGTGCAAAATCCTCCATAAAATCTACCCTGGTCTTTCTCTTTCTGCAACCAAAGAAGGGCTCCAGCAGTCCTCTGAGGCGAGATGAGGGGGTTCCTTTGTGGGGTCTTGCCCATTGTGTTCTTCCCCGATGTTTACTTTCTCCCTCCAATAAACCAGGTCTCTCCTGGCCTTTCTTCCCAGGTTTGCCACCTGCCCTGCTGGACAACAGCAAGCATGGGGTGGGGAGGGCAGAAGTGGGCAGCAAGGGGGAGAAGCCCTACAAGTTTCTCTCTTCCCCACAAAAGAGGGGACCTGGGACCCTGCCATGCCTCATCAGATCCTTCTTTCCTGTTATAAAACTTAAGGGTTAGCCATGAGATGGGTGGGGGGTGGGGGTGGTCTAGAGTGTTCTTGAGGCTTCCAGAAGACCATAAAAAGGGCCCTTTCCCATTCAGAGCGCACAGAGGCCAGTGGCTTTCCCTGCTCTCAGACCTCAAATTGCCCAGCTGGTGTTTTTTATTTTAAACATTAATTATAGCAATATAAGAATCACAGCGGTGCAAACTGCAGTTCCTGTTATCTCAGTTATTGGGAGTCCAGTTATTATAATTTTTAAGAACACTGTCTAAAGTACACAAGTCAGTAAATACAGAGGCGTACAATGATAAGGGTCCTATCCATCACTGCTCCTCATTGTGGGATTTTGGTCTGCTGCCTGCAGACTCCATCCTTGAGCCATATGATCATCGTGCACTGGCGACTCAGAGCCCAGCATGTGAGCTGCTGCACGGCCGGCCGGCCGGCACCTGGCTCATTCAGGGCAGGAGCGGAAGAGGCTGTGGGCCAGGACCGGCTGTTTCAAGGGGATCGTCTCTTGGCAGAACGGTGGACAAGAGCCTTCCCGTTCCAGTGTTTGAGTACATTTTCTAACAGAGTAGTCAGGAATCGGCTATGGTTAGAAGTGCACAAGAGGGAAAGAGGGGTGGAGCCCCAACAGGTCTCCTTTTCTACCTGGTGTGTCTTCTGATAGATTTTAATTGAAGACTGCTTTAGGATCCAGTTTTGACTGAAAAGCAGAATATAAACAGTAAGGGAGGTGTTGTAGGCTTAGCACCTCCTTCTTCTATCAGTTTTTAAGACATGGCATTTGCCCATTGAAGACAGCCTGGTTCTTCACCCTTTCCTTGCAAGCCTTCCTGACTTATGAGCCATCTCTGTGCCCTGCGTGGAGCTGATGGCTGGAGGGCCCCCTCTGCAGACGAAGGAGAGGGGCAGAAGAGTGGTGGTCTTGACTGTCAGGCATAGGGTTTGGTGGCTTGATGGCTCTCTTGTGGCTGGAGAGCAGAAACTGCGCGTCCATCTTCTTCCTGCCGTCTTGGGCAGAGCTTCAGTGGGCCAAAGGAGTTCCGTGCGTGTTCCCCCGCCAAACCCGAGGCGGGATTCCTCACACCCTGCAACAGCTCACAAGAGCCAGAGTCGGCTTCGATGGAGCTGAGATGCTACATGCAAAGGCAGAGGTGCAAGGGTTTCCACCCAGCGCCATCTGGATAAATATGCAAAGTAAAACTATTCAAAGCCGCATGAAAGAAAGAAAGAAGGAAGGAAGGAGCACCAAGACTCGGTTTGAGAAGCACTTTGCGAGTTTGCTGGCACCAAGGCTGTGGCTTGGATGGTCTCCATGCTTCCCCAGCTTTTCGCACCTCACCTTGGCCTCAGTTCAGCAGGACTGCTGAGAGGCTCTGGCCAAGCCGCCAGTCCTGCTCCTGCCTCCCTTCTTCCCGCAGGTTTTCCAGAACGCTCACCAGGTGGTGACCGTCCTGCTGCTCCAGGTGCTGGGTGCGCTGGCGCCCTCCATCCCCACCTGCCTCAGTGCTGCCATGGAGCGTTGCAGCCCCGAAAGCAAGTTGGAGCAACTCCTGGGGCTGTACAGCACCACCCTCTACTTTGCACGCGGGCTGGAGGTCACCATGCTGCCCAGTTTGAGTAAGTACTTCTGCTTGCTTGTCCTTCTCAGGCATTGCTCTTGGACCATCCTGCTCAAATGCCCAGAGGCATGACTTTTTCTTTTCTTTTCTTTTCTTTTCTTTTCTTTTCTTTTCTTTTCTTTTCTTTTCTTTCCTTCTTTCTTTCTTTACAGGGGAGTTTTACAGGAACACAATTTGTTGGTATTGCGTTGACGGTCTTTATTAGTTACATAACACTTGTACCAAACTTTGTTTAACTTGATTGAGCGGTATTGACACAGTTCTTAAAGTGTTTGCCAAAGCAGAACAATTTGCATTCTATCTTGAGTAAATACTACTTAGCACTTTTGATTTTTGTAAAGGTTAGCTAGTACTCAGCCTCTCCCTTCCCTCCAGCTGCCCTGGAGGCCTCTGGCAAGGCCTCTGTGCTGCCCTTTGCTTACATGCTACGGAAGGACCAGGGGCAGGGGCAGGGGCAACAGAGAGCAGGCAGAAAACCTCCCTCCGCTAAAAGGCAGGATGAAGCTCTCACATCCCACAGGACTCTTTCCTGAAGTTGGCCATTCAGAAAGAAATGTGAGCTATCTCAGGCTGTCTCCAGGCATTTTCTGGAGGAAGATTGAGTCGGTATCTCATTCTACAAGGTGGTGGTGATGTTTCAAGTTCCGTAGACCCTCTCCTCCTCCTCCCCACTAAGTAAATAAAAAGCAGTACAGCAGGAAAGGAAGGCCTGGCGCAATATGGTTCATGGGGTCACGAAGAGTCGGACACGACTTAACGACTAAACAACAACAACAGCAGGAAAAGTATAGTGGTGGTGGTGGTGGGGGGGAGATTTGATTTTAAAATGTACTTTTTCCCAAAGAAAAGACTTAAAGCACTTTCTTCACCTCCTTATATTAACTGCTCCTATCAGCCCCTGACCTGCCTTGTAGCTTCAGCCTTCCTTCCTCCGCACTCTTCATCGAGTTTGGAGACGGACCCACGGAGAGTTTGGGGAGCAGAGAAGGATCTTCTGTGTTTGCAGGAGAGTTTTTCAGCACCACTGCCGGTGCTGGAGGATTTTGTGGGTCTTTAATCTCTCCTCTTGCCCTGGTTTTTCATTTTGGTTTAAGAATAACCTGGGCAAAGCAACGGGAGATGTGAGTAATGTGGGAAGCCCCTCTTGTGCTGCTGCTGCTGCGATGCTGTGTTGTGTGCTTTTAGGGGAGTGTAACTTGGTGAAGGTGGGTGAACTGGTGGATGCCATCTTCAGCCCTTACAAGCCTTTCCAGCTGCAGTACCGGGCATTGGAGGAGGAGAATCTTCTCATCCAGATGAGCGCTGTCCCTCTGGTAAGATCCCCTTCTCTGCTGCCCTAAGAAGTCCTGCCATTGTCACGCACAATGGTTCATCTACAATCCACTTTTGTAACTTCTGAAATGATGAACAGAACTTAAAGAACTCCAGGTCACTACTGTAAGTGAAGATTTCCATTAGAACCATTTCACTGTCAGCCTTCCTAGATGGAGGAGAGCTCAGAGAGTCCCGGCCTCTTCCTGGGGACCAGCTCTGGCTGAAAATGGGAGCTCTGGCAAGTGCTTAATGGTGGCTGCCATGCTTGGCTTCCCTTTAGCTTGTAAAAAATGCTGTTATTGGCTTAATTGGGTCACCCTTGTGTTGATTCTGTGAGCTGTTGTGGGCATGGAAGAGAAGGGGAGGCTCGGCAGCACCAACAGTAAAGTGCCTTTGTAAGCCACCCAAAATAAATGCATGGTAAAAGGAGTGAAGGCAGGAGATTGTCCCCAAAGCTTGTAGGGTTCTGTTCATGGCGAAAGCCTCCCAAGCTGAGTTCAGCCTGGGAGGTTTTCTTCGCCAGTAGCGTCCCAGTCTCCCTTGAGAGAGAAGGGGCAGATCTGTCTTTTTGTGGAGGGCGGGCCTGTAACAAGCTTGAAAGCCTGGGGGACAACCCAAACACTAGACTTATCTTTTTTCTAAAAAAACCCTTAAATTTAAGAGGTGCAAAGAAAGTCTAGGGGTGCTGGCCTCCCTCACCTGGCTTCAGACAGGTGGCTGGGTGCCGCAGTTGTTATTTTGGGAGGACAGTGACTGAGAGGCTGGACTAAGTTCCACATGTGGGGAGCATTGGGGTTTCTTATTTTGTCCCCTTGACCTGGGAGTGTTTACTGCCTCTTTTGAACTGTGTTAAACCATCTTGGTTTACAGTACATTTTTCTCTGTGTTTTCCACTTCAAAATGTTGAGAAAGCAAGGCACTGGTTTCTGGCAGCAGCCAGGTGTTGACAGCTGGCACTCTCAGGCAAGGGGAGCTGCAGAACAGTCCTGGGGATCTTGGCTCCTGTCCCCTCCCCTCCCTGCCACTTCGGGTACTTAAGTCCAGTCCTGTTATGTCCAGTGGTGAGAATGCCCAGATCTTTCCCACCAGTTCCTGGATTTGCTGAAGAGGAACCCTGGACTTTTCCCATAGAAATCAGGCCTGTTTTGCAGAATGCCCCCTCTTTGAATCATCAGAACAGTCTGTCCTCCAGAGGCCTTGAAAGCTTGCTCAGCGGTCCAGCCAAGCAGAGGGGCTCTCTGTGCGGGGGGAGGCAGCTAGGGACAGTCTTTCGGAGGGCTTTGCTCATGGTGGCAGGTTCCCGACGAGCCCTGTCCAAGGTCTTGGGGAGCCCCAGTGGCAATGGTTGCCTTGTTCCCAGTTCTGCCCGATTTGGACTGGCTGCCTTGCCCCTCTGGCATGGTGACCACAAGCTGCGATCTTGTCTCCCATGCAGGAACATGGGGAAGTGATGGACTGCGTCCAAGAGCTCAGCCATTCTGTGAACAAGCTCTTCGGCTTGGCCTTGGTGGCTGTTGACCACTGTCTCACACTGACTGATGGGCTGGGCGTGGGGGGACTCCTCACAGCCCTGCAGGCTCTTTTCAACAAGTAAGTCCTTGGCTGTGAGCGAAACACTTCAGATCCAGCCTCTGGGCCAGAGCGGGGAGGCTTTCTCAGGACTGGGAGCATTTTGATTCCCCACCAGTTCAGCACCTCTACCCCTGTGTGGGTTGTGGGTGGAGAAGAACAGGTTAGGAGATGGCTGGGATTCCAGTGCCCCATGGAGTTCCTTCTGCTCCTCATGACCACAGGAGGAAATGACTGATTCCACCTGCTGCCCCCCTCCCCCCTCCCCTGGGTCCTGCCTGGGGCTCCACTAATGTCCTCCTAATGCCTTAGGAGAAGAATTGCTTTGCCCCCTTGGATCTTCCGTGCTCTTGGCCAACCCACTCCTGGCGTGGGAGCATTCAACCGCATGGGCCCTGGGTTCTGTGTGCTGGCCGGCACATCATCTCGGACCCTTCTTTAGATACGCGTCGGACTTCAGTAATGCCCTGCAGTCAATCCGGAAGAAATGCCAGTTGGATGACATCCCTTCAGATTCACTCTTCCAGGAAGACTGGACTGCTTTTCAGAATGCCATTCGGTGAGAAAAATACCTTCTGTGAAAGATGAACGGTGTGAAAGGCAAGCGTTTCTGGAGAGCTCAGCATTGTTCCTTTAGTTGAACAAGATTTTAAAAGGAAATCTAGCTGAACAGTCTTTGGCACTCCCATAACTCCCCTTCCCCCTTTTCTCTGGTTAACCACAGCAGTCTAGACACCCACACGCAGACACACGTACCTGTGTGCTGTGCTCTAGGAGCAGGTGGAGGAGGGGCATTTGTTCACAATTATGGATTCTTCAAGCAAGTGAGCCATGCCACATTCTGTAAAAGCAGAGACCCATGCTTCCTCACTGTACTTGGGGCAAATAATCCATTCTGTGATTCCTCCTGGGCCCTTTTCATCCAAGCATGTGGCTTCTCACTGCAGGAGAGAAAGTGCTTGTGCTCTTCTAGTGCCTGTCAGTAGAGGGGCGTGCCTTTTGGGGGCAGTGATGCCACACGCATTTCTCTCCCTGCAGAATAATTACTGCCTGTGGGGAGCTCCTGCGACAATGTGGAGACCTTGAGCAGCAACTGGCAAACAGGTGGGCTTGCTGGGGAAGGGGGGTCCCCAGGGCTGCTGTTCAGAAAGGAGTGGGGTAGGGACAGATTCAGCCCCATTCCCCAGTCTCCTGTCGGAGGCCAGGCAGGGTGCCAGTACCCGGGCACCCCCTCCAGTTCATACTCCACCAAGGCCTTGAACCCCACTTCTGATGTCAGGGCCTCTGGGGTGTCCTCAGTCCGGGCTGCTTTGTCTCCTGGTCCTGTTTGCAGGATCCTCTCGAAAGCAGGGAAATTTCTCTTGGAGTCCTACCGTCCCTGCAGCCTGAGTGGCTTCCAGGAGCCCAGCCCAGAGAAGCAGAGCCACGTCAAGAACCCCTGGCAGGAGTACTGCTACCTGCAGCAAGAGAGCCCGGCAGAATATGCTGCTCTGCTGGAGACCCTCTACACACTCAAGGTGGGCATAGCTGGCCTGTGGGTTGGCAGAGGAGCATCCACGGACGGAGCCTTCCGCTCACCCCACCCTTCCCCGAAACGCCTTCCGAGTGGCGCTGCCTCTAGTTACGATCCCTCCCTCAAGTGTTTGCTTTTCCTGGGCCCTTCAGTGTGCCTGTCACCTTGCTTACTTTTCCCAGCCTGGCAGGGCTTTTCTGCTCTTCTGTTCCCAGGCAGGCTCCTCACCCGTGGGGGCTGGAGGGCCTGCCCCAGTTTGGCTTGTCTGACAGTCCTGGGCGGGAAACTGTTCCTCAGGTCATGGTGAGCCAGAAGCGGCTGCACCACAGCCACAAAGCACCCTCCCCTTCGGCTGCTGTCAGCAAAAGACCGTTGGGTCCTTCTGGGCTCTTGTGCGGTTTTGCAGGTGACAGGCCCAGCCCTGCTCTTACTCAGCCGGCACCTGGGTGAGAAGGAATGCGCTGGATGGACGTGTGAGTGGAAGCAGCAGGAGGGGAAGCACAGAGGTTTCGGTCCAGATGCACTGGGGGGTCTTGCCCTTTCTACAGCAGGCACTGCTTTCCACAGGGACTCTGACAGCACCTAGCCTCCTCTTTTCTGAAAATAGGTTGGGTACAGCACGTGAGATAAAAACACAGGGTAAAGTCCCATTCTGAAAAGCTTGCAAAGTGGAGGGCACCTTTGCCTGGTGCTCAGAAATCCCAAATGTGGGCGTCAGGGTTCTGGGGGCTGTGCCAAAGCCAAAGCCCGGGTACTGCTGCTGCGGAGGCCTTCTCTTCACTTGGTGGGCCCCCGCCACACAGGTAGAGCCACAGGAAGACCATCTTTCTGGCAGCCTTCTCCGAAACGTGGTAGTCCCAGGACAGTTTGCAAGTACAAAGCTGCTTGCTCCAGAGACTGCTGGAGTCTCTGACGACACTGCTGCACCTGATTCCCACCCAGAAGAGCCTCACCTTCTCTGAACTTTATTGTCCTCATCCAGTTCTTTAACGTCTGTAGGCTCCAACGCTGAGTGTCCACTGCCCCAGTTGAAATGAAGCTTGATGGCCTCAGGCTGGGTCTCCAGTTGGCTCCTCCTGAAGGGGTCCCTGTAGGGGAGAGACCGCCCAGGACCTTGCGTAAGCCAAAAAGATGGCAGCGGCGCTTCAAGCAGTGGTCCCTCATCGCACGTTGCGTCCCCAAACTCCAGGACCACAATGATTGCTCTGATGTCGCATTCTCAGGGTTATCCCTCAGGGCGGCTAGGGGAGTTCCAGTCCCCAGTCCCCCTGCCTCGGCAGCCACACGGAGGTCATTAACACGGAAGGTCCCTTGCTCCCTAGCTGACGCTGAGTGGATTCTCACAACTGCTTTCAAAGCGATAGGGCTCCCTGGTGCATTGCAAGGCAGAAAGAGGAACCCGACCTGCATCTCTGGGCTCTGACTCCCCCTTCCTCCCCGTCACAGGAGAAAGGGACGAGCCACAGTTTGCTCTCAGCATCGCGCTCCGCCTTTACCCGTCTCAACCAGCTTGCCCATCAGCTGGCCTTTGACTCTGTTTTCCTTCGCATCAAGCAGCAGCTCCTCTTGGTAGCCAAGATGGAGGTGAGTGTGGTATAAGTAGCCAGACGGGAAGGGGGGATCCCCACAGAGTCAGGGAGAGGGAGGTGAGGGAAAGTCGTTTTGCAGGACGAGTCAGCCTCTGATTGTGCCGGTGGTACTGAAGTCTTTCTGCTCTGTTCTAAACTAGAGCTGGAGTGCAAGTAGTGCGGGCGAGATCCTCACCGATGACCTGCCCAACTTCAGCCTCACGCCTCTAGAATACATCAGCAACGTAGGTGGATGTGTTCACACACGCAACACCAGTGCTGCTGTGACTCAAGTGGGCGCTTCTAGTTCTGCATCTCGTGTCCTCAGAAGATGCTGCTTTCACTATCCACCTGCCCCGACTTGGCAGCTGCTCTTCAGCATTCAAGAGGGGCAGTTTCCAGAACCTGGGCAGCCTAAAAGTGCTAGGGGCTTGCTTGGTCCCTGAGCTGTGGCCCTCCCCGGGAGTCCGGTCTGAGTCCTTGGGAGCGTGAAGGATTCCTTCGGAGAACCAGGGCAGGGAAGCCCTCCGAGGGCGGCCCATATGGATGAGGTGGCTCAGGGTCTGGAGGGCCCACTCTGTGAAAATTGAACTACCAGAAGGAGCCCCCAAGGGCAAGGGGAGGGGAGAAATCTCGGGCCCGGTGACCACTCAAGTGGCCGGGCCAAGGCTTGGCTCAGCCCCTCTTTGGCTTCCGGACGTGCCCTGGGGAAGAATGTGCTGATCACATCCAGCACCTCTCCATCATCAGAGGAATGGCGGGCAGGTGGCAGGTCCCCTGAGACACAAGGGTGACCCCATTTTCTGCAGTGAGCTTGGGGCTGCCTGACCTGCTGCTGCCCTTCCTCCCTCTTAGATCGGCCAATACATCATGTCCCTCCCTCTTCATCTGGAGCCGTTCGTGACTCAGGAGGACACGGCGCTGGAACTTGCACTGCATGCTGGGAAGCTGCCCTTTCCTCCAGAACCAGGTGGGAAAGTGCAGGAGGGGGCCTCCCCCCACCCCCAGCATGGCCTTTGCCCAAAGAGGCATCTGCAGGATGGCTCACACAGGCAGTGAGGCGGGCATGGGCATTTCAGGGCCCTTTTGTCCTTGCAGAGCTTTCCCCCACATACCCTGCCCTCAGTTATTCCCTCCTCAGCCTGGCCTAATGACCAGCAAGGTACAGAAGAAGTCCCGTTTAGCTGCAGGGCAATCGTTGCTTGTCCTCTTCCCTCAGGTGATGAGGTCCCCGAGCTGGACAACACGGCAGACTATTGGCTGGGCTCTCTTGCCAGGGCCACGATGCAGACGTACTGTGAGGTCATCCTGCAGATCCCTGAGCTCACCCCACACTCCACCAAGCAGCTGGCCACGGATATTGGTGAGGAAAGAAGACTGTCTGGGGGGGTGTGGGAGACACCCAGGTTAGGTTCTGCAGCTGGATGGTTAGGTCCTTCAGGCCATCAAGCCCCCTTCCCTGCTCAGAAACCAGATTCCAGCGTCCCTGGCAGATGCCGGTCTGGCTTCCATCTCCAGTGAAGGGCAGCTGACTGCTTCATTGGCCCCATTGTTGCACTGTCACACACATTGTCACACTCTGCCTTCCTGGATCTGAAACCCACGTCCTGTATTTTGAAAAAGAGAGAACGGACACCCTTTCAAGTATTTAAAAAAGTGTTACCGTACCCGCCCTGTCTTCTCAAACTAAGGACATCCCAATTCTTCAGTCACTTTTCCTAGGACTTAGCTTCTAGTCCCACAGTCATCTGCTGATCTTCTCTCAGTTTATTTATTTATATTTATTTATATTTCAAATTTCTCACCACCCATCTCACTACAGAGCGACTCTGGGCAGTTTACAGTAAAAACAGAATAAATATTAATTAAAATAAATATCAGTTTGTCTGGATGCTGTGGTGTTCTGGCCATGGTCCTGGGAATCCCCCTTCTCTTGGCTGGTTGGTTCTGTCTCCCTTCGGGAAGCTGAGATGTGGTGCTACTCGTTTATCTTACAGATTATTTAATCAATGTGATGGATGCTCTGGGTCTTCAGCCTTCCAAGGCCCTGCAGAACACAGTGGCCCTCCTAAAGACCAAGCCTGAAGACTACAAGCAGACGGCCAGAAATTTTCCCCGCCGCCTGGCTAGCAAAATCGCCACCATGAGGGCCCTGGACTATTGAGCTGCCGAAGTCTTGGCCCAAGAGTGGCCCCATTGCTCCCCTCAGCCAGAGACACGCCAGAAGGGCCCCTGGATGCACCTGGCGCTCCCCCTGCCCCCCACCGTAGAGTGCTCTCCTTCCTTGCATAGGGGAGAAAGAGGCCAAAAACAGATGAGTGTGTGCAGACAAGTTTTGTAAGTACTCAATAAATCCTTTTAAAAGGCAACTCTGAGCTGGTGGCTGGTGAAAAAGGGCATTTGCAGCCGGCCAGCCCCTCCTTGCAGGAATCAAACCTGAGGCAGCAGAGATTGGAGGGAGTGTTCTGACAGGGGACAGCCTCAGAAATGGGGTTTGACCAGGCTCCTGGGGAAGTTGACCAGGCTGGCTAAGGCTGGCCAGACTAAGGAATGGTTGTGGGGAAAGGGGTACAGTTGCTCATCCCCATCTTATAAAGGTGCTCCCTTTCTGCTGGGGCTGGCTGGCCTGGAGCACGATGTGCGCCAGGGATCCAGGCAAGGGCCCCTGTTCAGGGACAGCCTTCAGAGAGAGGCAAGGAACCAGTTTTGTAGGTGCAGCCATGAGGCCGAGGCTGGATGAACTCTGTACAGCCAAGCCCGGCTGGCACACTCCTTCCTTCCTTCCTCTGTGGAGAAATCCAGCTGCACCGGGCATGCAACTGCTGGTTCTCCAAAGCCCTCCTTAACTCTTGCCTCGGCTGAATCTCGGACGCGCAGGAGAGCCGGCATCACCCTGTCTGACCGGGCCGCCTGCGAGGAGTGGAGTCCAGCGACCACGGCGGCCAGCCCAGGCCAAGGAAAGGTCACCTGTGAGCCTCCCACGAGCCAGAAGGGGCACTTTGGGGAAAGGACTGAATCTGACCTGGCCAGAGGCAGCTTTGGGGGCAGGGGCGGGGGGATTTGGGGGCAACAAAATTGCGGACCCAGAGTCAAAAAAAGGAAGGGTGGGGTTCTCCCCAAATCACCTTGGGGCTTCTCCACGTGTGGCTCAGACCTGCATGTCTTCAAGGCTGAGCCTGGCATCGCTCACAGGCACGGAGTCCCCATGGAGGCAAGGCAAGGGCTCTGAGGGTGGCTGCTGCTTTTCTGCCCTTGGGGGCCCTGGCCCAGAGTTCACCAAGGTCCAGCTGGTGGGCCAAAGCTGCTTGCCCAGCAGGCAGAGCTGGAGAAGAGGCTGCCCAAGCTGGACTCCGCTGCCCAGAACAGCCTCCCTTGCCAGGGCAGCTCTTCCCTTGTGAGCTGACCGACGGTTCAGGCCTTGTTCTGCCCTGGGCGGGACGGTGTACAGTAGTCCAAGACGGGCCCCTCCTCGTGGGAGCAGCCTCAACCCGGGTGACCCTTTCTGGCTTTGCTGTCATTTCACCCCAGGAGGGGAAGCTGTGGACCTCCAAGGGCTTAGAGGTGAGCCCCCCTGCAGGGTGGATGGGAGGGCTGCTTAGCTGCTGATCATGGCAATCGGGCAGCAACAGAAAGAGCCCCCCCACCTCTTCCTCCTCCCGGCCACAGTTTCTCCTGGGTCACTTCTCTGCACAGGCCAGTCCAAGGCACTTTAGTCTTCCAAGGCAGGTTCTCTGCAATCCCCCTCCTATAGAGGATGTCCCTTGTTCATGTATTCTTTTTTTTATTATTATTTCTACCCCACCAGAAGCTCACGGCCATGTATGTAACCCCCCCTCCTCCAATTTTTCCCTGCTAAAACAACTCTTTGGGGTAGATTTGACAGAGAGGAGCTGGGCCAAAGTCACCTAGCAAGTTTCTGTGGCTCGGGGGGAGGGCTTGACCCTGCATCTCCCTCCTCCCTCCAGCAGTGGGGCATTCGGCATCCCAGGCAACAGGCTCGTCTGCAGGAAAGGTGCTCTTTCGAAGCCCAGGCAGCTTGTGGCAGGCGGTGCTGCCGGGAGAGGAAAACCCCAGGCCAGGGAGCAGGGGCCATGGGGCAGGAATGCCGCCGTGCTGCCTAGAAAGTGCCCCTGGCCGTCTCCTTCCGGGGGAGTGCCTGGCTGTCCAATTGTCCAAGCAGGCAGCTGCGACCAAGGGGGCAAGTGCCCTCATCTCCCCACTGCACTAACCCACCTCTCCTCCAGCTCGGGATGTGGCCTTTGCCGAGCTATGCCCCAGCTGCCAGCCCTGCACAGAGGGCAAGTGCCCCGTCATCCCACTTCCCAAGTAGAGCCTTTCCCTCTACTTCTTCAAGGCTCTTCTCTTGAAGAGAAGAGAAGCTCTTTCGGTAGCTATAATGCCGAAAATGCTTTTTGAAAAAGAAAAGCAAGATGACTGCCTTTGATGAAGCAGAAAAGTCATACTTTCTGCAAAACGTAATAGCAATATGACACGTTTCTGGCCTCACAGCAAACGTTTGTCTGCAAGACCTACCAGTTTGGCAGCCCCCTTTGCAAGCAGCCTGGTGCCCTTCAGCCCAGAGCGTGGCGCGGAGCAGTGCGAGGGCCCGAGGCCTGTGCTGCGAGGGTGCGTGCACCGCTTCCAAGGTGCATGCCTGAGCTGCAAGGACTGGAAAGTCGGCATTTTTGCCTGCACGTTCACTCTGGAGCAGAACACAAGCGTGCGGCATTTTAAGAGAGAATTCCTCTTTCCCCTCTCCCTCCAGGGTCAAACACTATTGTTTTTGAAAACCGTAGTGGCCAGGGATGTAAAAGAGCCATAACGTCGGAAGAGCTGTGCTGGATCAAAACGAAGCCCACGGACTCCTGCACACAGCAGGGATCCTGCAGCTCTCGCGTTGGCTAGGGACCAGCGTGAGAATCTCAGTGCCCTCTGATCTGCAGCCACCAGGGAGCTGCCCAGTCCCCTTGTGGAACTGTTGAGCTCAGGGCCCGGCTCCGTTTCAGGCAGCAAATCCCAGACTTACGTGCAGAGCATTTCCTAGGGTGCATCCTGCATATCCCAGAGTTCACCAGGTGATCCTGCGGGCCGGGATAATTTGGGAGGGGCAAGGCCAACGCCTGAGGCTCTGCTCCTCTCCTGCTCTCGGGCTCCCCACCCCTCAGGCCGCAGACCCTTCTGTCCTCCGGGAGCTGCTCAGGACTTGGGCCACTCTGACCGCCTCCTTTTGCATGGGTTGGGTGCCTCATAATCGCCTTCTGCCACCTGCCTCTGCCTCACATTTTGGGAAAGATGCACACTGGGAATTCCCTTCGGAGAGGGGCATTTCGTGCGAGCTGGTCTACCATTTCTGGCTCTGATTAGCTTAGGCTGACTGCAACCAGGCCAGCAAGCAACAACCTGCCGCCGCAGCTTTTTCGGATTCATCCTGCCGATAAACATCCAACAAGCCCTCTAAAAAACAGCTGGTGCATTTCTCCTCAACACGAGGAGAGGAGCTTTGCGCCCCTGTACTGATGAAATCGAGGGCAAGGACAGGCAGGGAGCCGCTTTGGAAAGTTGAGAAAAGGAACCTGAGATCCCAGCTGAGCCGGGCTCCTTCTGTGAAAAAGCTTTATATGGTTTTTTTGCAGCACAGCCTGACTCCCTTCCTCCCGTATGTCAACACGCTTCGCAGCTCCCAAAAAGCCTGTGATGGGATACACACCGCTCTGTCCAATAAAGCAGCAAGCGCGGGGAAGGCCTGTTCTATTGCAGAAAACCTAGCCCTGGTTGCCTCCCCCTTGCTGCACCCCCCATGTATTTTAAGGCGTGCACCACTGATCAAGCCATTTCCCCATGATTAGCCGTAAGGGTCCCTTTGGGAATTAAAAAACTAGCCCACCTCCGGTCACCGTTTCTCAAAGAGGCAAGCAGGGGACACCCCTCTGTTTTCCTGGCAGAATTGGGGGACTCAAAAGAGGACTGATTGGATTATAGAGGCTGGAGAATAATCTTCCAGTTTTGCTGTCCAGTGAAAACTTCTCTGAAAGCACATGCATTTTCACACCAACCTCTTGACCTGCCAGATTTATACACAGAAAGAAATGTATTCACTTTAGCAGCAGCTCAGGGCACTCTGGCTGCTCCCTCAAATAGTGACGCGCCAGAGCAGAACTGGAGGGCAGGGCAGCTGGGCCATCCGAGGGGGAGGGGGAAGGATGTTCCTGCGGGGCCTTGAGGACCAGAGAGGAAACCTCGCCTTCCGGGCATCACCCGCTCTTCAAGTCCACCCCAAGAGCTTCCTCATCGCTGTCCGGAGCCACGAGATCCAGGGGGAGCACGCGAAGCGAGTCGTATTTGGGGGGCGGGGTGCCAGGCTCAGAGCCAGCCTCTTGAACGGCCATGGCTCCATCGCCAGGACCCCCAGCCGCTGCCCCCTTCTCCTCCTCCTCCCCATGGAAGCCTAGGTTCGTGTAGGCCTCAGTTTTCTCACAGACAGATGGGAGGGCATCCAGGGGCCTTGAGGCCGGCTTCCACTTCAGCCCCTTGCCCCAGCCAATCAGCTTCAAGACGGTGATCCAGACAAAGTCAATGAGAATCTCCCCAAACTCAATGAGGCACAAGACGGAGCCGCCCATCCAGAAGCCAAACTGACCGCCCAGACTGGAGAGAAGCCAGACGATCTGCATGGGGAGACAGGCTGGGGTGAGGTCAGCGAGCTCAGGGCTTCCCCAGCGCAGAGATGCAGAGCTTAGCCAAACCCCTCGCCAGAGAGGGCCTGGGGCTGGTGTCCTCCTTGCCCTCGTGGTCCCACATAAGGCCAGCGTGGACATGAGGATCATTAAACAATTCAGCTACTGAAGCCAAAGACAGACTTCTGATTTAAAATGTTGAACTCCAGATACTGAAAATGGATCGTTTCTCCTCAGTTACAAGCCTCAGTGCTTGCCAAGCAACCAAGCCACCACATTGCCTCTGGTTGGCCTCCTGGTTTTCCCAGATGCCAACACTTGTTCCTGCCACATGCAAAGCAGGGTTTGCTGCTAAGCATGAGCAGAGTGCACACCCTCCTCCCACAAACACCTCTTGGCAGAGAGACATTCCACCTCAGAGGAGGCATCCACCATGGCATTGCTCATAATTGCTTCTCAATGAACTCCAGCCTCCCCTGTGGGGAGAAGCCTCCATAGGACCTCCAAGGAATGAGGGAGCTGGACCAAGGACCAGACCTCTTGCCACCTCTAGGTCAAAAGGGCCACTTACAGTTGTAGCTGCTGACTCTGAGATGGTGCGGTAGTTGTACTCCTGGAAGTAGATGCTGAGCTTGATGATTCCGTTTCTGCGGAGAGAAGGAAAGAGCCGTCGGGACTCCTCAAAACAATGAGACAACAGCCTCCTTTCTGTTTCTTCCACACCTTT